AGTTCCTAGCATTTCAGCAACACCAAGTTCAACTTGTCATAGTCTATAGCATCTTGTGACTTCATGCTTGCATATACTTGTAGACATTTTCCTGTGAATTGATGGCTGGGACAGACTGCCCAATCACCTTTGTCCCAGTTCTGACTTTGGGCAAACCTTTAATACCTTTTCAGGAAAACATCCAAGTCATCTTTCTTGTTCATCTTGTTGTTGTCAATTACATTGTAGCCCTCCCTACTGTGGACCGGATGTACAACTCCAGATGCTGCCAGGGGTTGGTTGTGTGTCTCCCTTTCATTGTTATCTATGACTAAACAATTCCATCACGTTTGGGTTATGCACACCATAGAGATGGGGAGTTCCATAGAACTGTTAGTATTTCTCTTTAGTAGTATTTTGCTTCATAAATATGTTCCTCCCAGACCATACACTCATGGACTGAAATGAGTAAAGCAAACAGAGATTTCAGACTCCATGGTGTTGAGTCTCTTCCAACCATGGGCCTGACATACAATTCCAGATGCTGCCTAGTAATGGTTGATCAACTCTGTTGATGTGGTAGCTTTGCTTTTCAAAATAGGGTATCCAAGTCACCTGTTGCACTGTCTCTGGTGATGTAGTCCTCTGGACTCTTCAACACATTTTCTCCCCCCTTTCATCTAGTGAAGTATGAGAGTCCTTATCACCTCCCAGTTCCTAGCCACTGGGGTGGTGGACTATGAATGCCTGTCCTTCTGAGTGATGGATCATTCCACTCAGTTGAGAGTAAGGTGGTGGCATTCTGCAGGTGTCACTGGCATATAGCACTTCTTACTACAGACCTGATGTACAATTACAGATGGTGCCAGGTTTTGGGTGTTGCATTATGCTGTATTCCTATCTGTACATCTGATCAATTGTTTTTTCATACAGTGGCATTCCTCCTTCCTACTATCCTCAGGATGTACATTCATGGTGGGTCTGGTTTTGGTTGGAGATGGCCCGGTCACAATTTGTATCATGTGTAGTTGGCATGACACCCTTCCTACCATGGACCTAATGTACAATTCCAGGTGTTGGCAAGTTTTGGTTGAAGCGCTCTGCCATGTCACAAATATATATATAATTGCAGTTTGCCCCTCAGGTTGAGACGTTCCTCCTCCCTAACATCTGCTGGATATACATTCCTGATGGGTCCATTGTTAGTTGGAGATGATCCAGTTAAGTAACTCCTCACATGTTGGTTGACCAGTTTCCTTCCTCTTACCATGGACCATGCCCACTGCTGCCACATTTGTGGCCCCGCTTCCTATCATCTGCTGGATGTTGGTTCCTGGTGCATCTGGTGTTGGTTGTTAGTGGATGCAGCATGTTTTCCCACTTGTGTACACCAGATATCTTCCTCTTTCCACATACTGATAGTACAATACCCATTGCCACTTGGTTTTGGACCAGAGATGTCATCCTGCCAGGGCTTCCACCTTCCTACAATCTGCTGAATGTCGGTTACCGGTGGATGTGGTGTTGGTTGTCTTGGAAATGTGTGCAAGTGGTGACAGATTTTGGTACAGAAGCTCATTTTCCCTACCAATTCCCATTTCAAGGTGAAGAGGTAGGTGATCCTCTACCTACAGCAGATCTGACTTACCATTTCAGATACTGCCTGGTGTTAACTGATGTCGAACTAACACTACGGTCTGTCATGCTCTAGCCACTCGACACCAAGGAGTCCCATTCATAGGTCATACATATTCTGGGATTCCTTCATGTTTTTCTGCCTTTTATGTTTACAACACTGTCATAAATGAGCAAAGAGTATACCTGGATCAGATATGGTGTGGCCCCCTGAGGTGTGATGTTTTCTCTATTGGTTTTACACCTCCTGGTCTATCTTTGGGTGCTTCCTAAAGGAGGCTCACTTTTGTATCAGCACTCTACCAGTTCAATGCAAGATTCTAGCTATTTTTGAGTGGAGGTAACATACTGTATTGGAATTTAGCATTTTCGGTGCTACTTTAGCGTGTGGTGTACAAAGATATTTACACTATAGAGCGGGGTCTACACAGATACTCTCATCATCCATCATCACTGTTTTAACTTTTGTTTATTTGCAAGTGGCACCATTTATTATAAATAATGCTTTTAAACTAATGAAGTACAAAATACCATTACATAATGTTTTGGGGGCCAATATAATTGGAATGAAATAAATTCCAACAATCAAAACTAGTACAATTATAACCTAAATTTAAGGTACTCTTTTGGAACACACAAGATATTGAATTATTATTATTTGCTGAAGAAAAATGTGGATAGATATAAATTATTTAGCAAGAAATTATGTTTTAGTGAATCATTAAAACAGCAATGGTGATAGTATCTGTGTAGACCGCATGCTATAGTAGTACCGCATTTCCTTACTCTGAAAATGTATTTCTGATAGATACTTACCACCTCTCACATTTCACACCAAGCCTCCCAACTTCCAATGATATATGGTGTAGATCTTCTGACAAATCTTGAAGTGATTAATGAGTGCAGGTGTGAAGAGGGAGCTGTTTGCAATACGAGTGGTGTTACACTCCTATTGGTGGAAAGCTGTTGCATGATCACTTGCATGTGGATATGCCAAAATGGGAGGTGGAAGGCTAATGGCATGCATTAAAAATGTATATCAAAAGAGGGTAGTCGAGAAAAGCTCTTTTGTGAAAGCAGGTAAGTATCTATCAGGAATACATTTTCAATGTAGGAAAATGCTAACTTTCCCATTCAAGTGAGCCTTCAAGATTTTTGTCAGTAAACAGCTCCCATCTGAGAAAGAACTCTTGTTCAAAGTCCTTCAGTCAGATGGTTACCCCATCAGTTTCATCCAATCACACAAGAGAAAAGAAGAAGAATCAATTTAAAAGCCACAGATTCAGACCCAGAAAACAACATTTCTGTCTTTTATCTCCAAAGTAAATTATAACCATAAAATAACTTTCAAAATGTTCAACATCAAAATCTGTTTCAAATCCAACAAGACATAAGAAGTGTTCTTACAAAAAATAACAAGTCCAGAAAGTGAAGATAAATTCATCAATACTATCTACAAAATATCTTGTTTGTGTGAAAAAATCCTACATAGGAAAAACAGGCAAAATTATTAAACAATTCAAAGATCGAGATGCAACCAGACTTCTTTGTTTCTAAAAATCCACCATAGTTAAACACAATTATAATACTGATAACATCATCAACTGGAACCAAATACAAATACTAGACATTTAGAAACACTGTAAAACTCAAAGTTTTTTGTTTTTTTTATTAAGGCTAATTTTTTTTTTATCAAGACTAATTAGTCAGCTAGCATCTGTGTTCAAAGCTTAGATTTTAATGTATTTTCTTTTTAGAAGATCATAAACACTGTGTTAACACAGCTTGAACTCCAGGTCATCTCTAATAATGTTGCAATAACACACTGACTGGAGCTCTGTCCTTAAAGTCAAGTTAATAGCCATTGCAAACAAGCTGACCCCTACTCTGCACAACAGACTGCACTGATATCAGTACCCTCAACTATCTCACTTGCTCTATAATTAATGTCCTCTACAACTGATCCTGAAAAACTTAAATCTAATTCTTTTTTTTCCCTGTTCACCCCACAGATTATCCTGTCCATTTGTATTACCAAACAATCAATAATGTATAACTATAACCTCTTAAGTACTTGAGAGTTGAAAGGTGTTAATAATGAACTTCATCTGTTTTTGGACAATGTTTCGAGCTGTTAGCACAGATCTTCATTAGGTCAGATTGTTCAAACTTTATAAAGTAAGAAAGTGACTGTAAGTGTGAGCTTTACAAGTTTGAATGAAAAAGTCAAGCAAAGTAGTAATGAAAGTGGCAAGAGCGTTGCTGTAGGTTGAAGATTTTGTTACACAGTGTTACATAACTTTTAAAAAGTTAACTGATATTATACTGTTGTAAAAATTAAATAATACTGCAGCTAGTGTGGATAAATTAAAAACTGTTGTTACATGTTAATACAATAATACTATATTATCTGAGCAGACATTCTACTTTTATTTATTAACTAATATATTTTAAACTTTGTAAGGTGATGATGACAAAACTTTGTCGAAAGATTGTACATTTGCTGTTATGTTAAACTTATATTAAAGTTTTTCTTCATTATCCATTCAAGCCATCTCCAAGCATTATTAGTCTCAAAGTGGGTTCCTAGTCATCATATTTATATGCCTCTCTGTTGACATTCTGACAATATTTCTATTGTGCCCATTAGAATAAAAGAAAAGATCTGCCATCTGAAACAACTGACTTAGAAGTCTATACATTATTAATCATAAGAAATTATAATGCTGTTTTTCTCATTTTCTTGTCTTTTCTATATTATTGCTTTGTTTGTCATAGCTTTTAGACAATTCCCTATATTACTATTACTATTAGGCCAGATTAAAAAATAATAATTAATTTATCATTAACACCCATATCTATAAATTGCCACCAATTTATATTTTTGTTTTTAAATTTAGCAATTTCTGTGTGTTGCAAGTGTTCAGCTTTAGCACATCCTCTATAAAGACTTGAATATTAATAACCCTTCTGTAAGTACGAAAGAAAAGCTAACTTCAGCCTCCTATTTCTGATGCTCTGAATGTGAGAAAATAAGGAGGAAAGCTGTCATACAGCAGACTTGAAACTTGAATTTCACAGTTGAAAGATGATGTGCATTCAACCATGAAATATAAAAACTATCTTACATTCAATATTACATCAAAACCTAATTTCCTAATGTGGAAAAAAATCTAAACACTAGTAGATTTTATTCAAAAAAGTACTAGTGAACTACAAATACAACGCAAAATGGTCAAGCTTTAGACAAAATTAGCAAACTACCTATATAATAAAATAAAGAATTTAATTTATATTTTATCGTTTCATTTTTCTAAAACTAGTAAAAGTAAAACACACTTTAATTTTAAAGTTTTTAAATATGAGACTAAAAGTAGGGAGTTTACCTTTTTATGTGCAAACTGAAACTGTGACGTGAAGTTGCAGTAAAACTCTGTGATCTAGCAATTTCTGCTTTCGTAATGTTCTAGTTTTGTTTATCGTTCATTTATTATGCCCTCTATCGTTTAGTTAAACAATAAATTTTGTTATATTAATTAAATTTAAAATGCTTACTCACCTTCTAGCTAGAACACGTTGAATTTCAGTATGTATGTGAAACTGGCACAAGCTTCCCCTAGCGGTGACGTACAGCATTAATATTGTGAAAAATTATTATATTTGGCTGGTCATATGAAATGTAATCTCGAAACAAACTGGGTTCATTTTTTGAGTCAAGATGTTTCTCGAGCCAGTTAGTTCTTCGCCCAGAACCGCACCAGTATCCCCGATGATCTTGGACAGATTACCCCGGCTTTCTCCCCGCGCAAAATCATCGCCTTTATCAACAAGTTTAAACCAGGATTATCCATCAACCCTACAAATACCTGAATCATTCGACGAGGTGGAATTTTTCTTCAACCCTCAACCCAAACTGACCTTTCATACATGTATAACTCATGGATTCATGGAACGCCTACCTTAATGCAACCTTCATAACCCCAAGAGTTCCACTAATCTTTTTTTCTTAGTGGCGTCGACGCTACAGACAGACGAGAGGAAATTCAACAGACCAATACGAAATTACACGCAGTTCACCGGATTCGCTCCAGAATTACTCCGTATTACTCAGTTCATCAAAGCAGTCACGACATATACACTTACAGCTAATTATAATATTTCTAATGGTTTTTTTTATCACTATTTTTATTTCAGAGCCGAACGACCCCACTCTCGTCTAGCCTATTTTTCTAACACTATCAGCAAATCTTCTCCTTGCTCATCTCAAACCAACAAAGCTTTACACAGAAACACCAGTCGCCAACAAAGCCACATCCGAAGCCACTGACAAGAACACTCAAACAACTATACCCAGAAAGATCTCACAACAGGCCCAGACTACAAAACTTGTAAAGAATTTGTTGTTATATATTTATTTTAATATCAACCTTTGTTTGGATTGAGTTTATATTTAAAAACATGCCTAACTTATAGTGTTAGACATGTATTGCGAAACTCCCACCTATTCTCCAAAGTTATAGAAGATTCTCGAGAGTAAGAATCAACAATATATCTATATACGTAAACGTTTAAATATAGTTCAATATTGTTATGTAATCTGAATTTTCTAAAAAACCTTTCCACGCCATAAATACAACCAACGCGACCCGCCAAATAGTGTGTCTATTAGTAGTTCGCTATAATCAGTGTACTATAAACTTCGAAAGCTATAGCTGTGATTTTTATAACGCTTATCAATCGGAAACCTTAAGATATTTGACCAGGAATATTGTTACGTCTCTGTTCGTTAATTAATTTTCCGTAAATTCGTTCCAACGAAACTTTAGTGACACAAGTCCTTTCTTAAATAAAACTGATTTATTCTTTTCGAATACAACTTTACCGATACACTTAATTTCAACAGTCGCTCTATAACAAACGCTAGAACGTCTCACGTGCTCGTGCTCGACAATACTTAGTTCAGTTACACACTCTCTGACTGCAGTTCAATTCCTCATTACCTACACATTGTCCCGTCACGTTGTGACCATCTTATATATACCAAACTACCCCAATCTAGTAATCTCCCGATAATTCACGAAGGTTCGAGAAGGAAGTGGCGTGATACTAGTCACGTGACCTCGCTGACGCAACAATATTTATAAATTTCGAACGTTACTAATCGTTTAACTTCAGTGGATTCTCATCGGACATTAGTATTTTTACGAAA